AAAAATCAAGTTTCATCATAAATTTAGGCCAAAATGTATTCTGCTACATGTCTGCTAAAAAAATCCCAATACGTGTAAATTAATTGGTTTACGTGAAAGTTATAGCGTTTACAAATGGCGGTATAGATACTGGAATTTTTTTTTACTAATAATGACAGTGATCAGCGACTTATAGCAGGACTGCGGCAAGCATTCAGACACTGGGGGGGACTGACTTGGTGTCACTGACATCCCCAGTGACACCAATACAGTGATCAGTGCTAAAAAAAAAAAGCACTGATACTGTACTAATATCACTGGGCAGGAAGGGGTTAACATGAGGGGTGATCAAAGGGTTGACTGTGTGCTGGGAGTGTTTTACTAGGGGGCTGTGTCAGTGTGCTTCACTGTAAGCACACTGCTCTGGATGGCTGTGCTGTGCATCCAGAGCACTGTGCCCAACCGACATGGAGGAGGACTATTAGTAAACAAAGCAGCCCTCCTCCCCATCAGTGATTTTCGGTAATCACCGGGCACCGACGGGTAATCACTGTGCGGGACCTGGTGATTTACAGCCGTGGCGTGTGCGCCCCCTACCCGGAAAATGCAAAATCATGTATATATATATATGTGATTTTGCGCACCGTGCCGCCCTGTAGCAGTATTTCTGCTATAGGACGGCGCATAAGAGGTTAAAAGAGGTATAGACTTCAGAGAGAGAGATATCATTTTACCCCTGTACAAATCATTAGTGAGACCTCATCTGGATTATGCATGTCAATTTTGGGCACCAATCCACAATAAGAACATTGGGGAACTGGAGAAAGTAAAGAGAAGAGCAACCAAACTGATAAGAGGCATGAAGGAGCTCAGCTATGAGGAAAGATTAGAGGAACTGAATTTATTCTCTCTTGAGAAGAGGAGATTAAGGGGGGATATGATCAACATGTATAAATACATCATTGGTTCATACAGTGTGTGGTGTAGAGCTATTCACCCTGAGGTCATCACAGAGGACAAGGGGGAACTCTTTACGTCTGGAGGAGAAGACATTTAATCTCCAAATACAGAAAGGTATCTGCACAGTAAGAGTTGTGGAAATGTGGGACCAACTCCCTCAAGATTTGGTTCTGGCCAGCTCAGTGGATTGCTTTAAAAAAGGCCTGGATTCTTTCTTGAATACACAGAATATAACTGGATACTAACATTTATAGGTAAAGTTGATCCAGGGAATATCTGATTGCCTCTCGGGGGATCAGGAAGGAATTTTTTCCCCTGCATGAGCAAATTTGATCATGCTTTGCTGGGTTTTTTGCCTTCCTCTGGATCAACTGTGGGTATAGGATTATAAATTTTTTTTTGGTTGAACTGGATGGACTTTTGTCTTTTTTCAGCAAGACTAACTATGTATATACTTACCTGCTGTGTGCAGTGGTTTTGCACAGAGCAGCCTGGATCCTCCTTTTCTCAGGTCCCCCTCAAGCTGTCCTGGCCCCTCCCTCCTGATGAGTGCCCCACAGCAAGCAACTTGCTATGGGGACACCCTCTGCTCCATGTGTCCATTCACACACAGAGCTGTGGCTTAGTCCCAGCCCCTCTCTCTTCTCATTGGCTCACTAGCTGTGATTGACAGCAGTGGGAGTCAATGGCTCCTGCTTCTGTCTCAGCCAATGAGAAGAGGGAGTCCGGGGATAGCCGAGATTCTAGTGCACATCGCTGGATTGAGAGGTGAATTATGTGAGTGTTAGGGGGGTTGGGGATGCTGCACACAGGTCTTTTACCTTCATGCATTGAATGCATGAAGGTAAAAGACCTTGAGCCTTTCGAACCACGATAAGTAAATTATTAAGGGGCATAACCAGAAATCACAGGGATCCATAGAAAAATATGGGCCCCACAACAGAAAAAACATTATTTTACAGGGCTCTATATGCCACAGGAGGTGAGAGGGACTGAAAAGAATGCGGCAGTAATAATGAGGTAAATACAGATTTGTGTTTCCATCATCAGGTATAAAACAAGGCAGTGTAAAATAGGAAATGTGTAGCATGCCAAACAGAGTAAACCAGTGTTCAGAAAGGATTTTACAGCTGAGTGTTGTGTGGAATATAAATGTAGTACCCTCCTAGTTTAGTTAGGGGGAGCTAGACTCCAGTGGTTAGACAGGGGTTGAGCAGCAGCTCAGGTGTAATAGCCAGGGAGGGCTCAAATTGTGGTCAGGGCTTTAAGGCCCTGCAGGCCAGCCCCTCTGGAATTTCCCCCTGCTCTAGGGCTTTTGGAGGATAGCTCTAGAGGCAGTGGGTGGATCTGAGGAGTGGCTGGATGCACCCTTGAGGGATCCTAGCCAATCCCCAAAAAGAGGTTGGCAAGGGGCTGGACATCCTTAAAAGTGTTGGAGCTTGCTCAGTGGCAGGAGAGTTGGAGGGAGAATTCAGGTGGAAGTTGTGAGGCTGAGAGCAGGAGGCTACGAGGAGGCCAAGTGTATTGGGGCCTACCTGCAGGCCTGGAGCTGGAAAGGAGGGAAACTCAGAGCTCACTGGCCCCCTGAGAGAGGACCACCTGTATGACAGGAAAGGAGCCGCGCAGCTGATAGGCCTGGTAGCAGCTACCAACCCACAAGCAGTACAGGAGAGGATCAGAGCAGCCACCAACCCACAAGTGTTACAGGAGAGGATCTGAGTGAGTACGCCTACATCCCCTGAGCGGATAGGGGAAGGTGCACTCTGGTGGAAAACCAGATTAGCTATCTACCAGTGTTCATTTTTTTAAAGTGGCAGTAACTGGATCCCCTGTTCAGGGACACCTCCAGATTGCTGGGTGAAGAAGAGATATTCATGTAGGGTCTGGGATGGTATACATAATTAAGCGGTGCAGACAAGGGTACGTAAAGCATGGTATACAGAATGAGGTGATGGGGAAAGGGAACATACAGCAGAGTATATGGAAGTAGGCATTGCAGAATAGGCAACATACAGCATGGAATACAGAGTAAGGTACTGCAGAATAAGGAAAGTATAGCATGGTTTATGGAAGGATGTGCTGTGGAATAGTGGAAATTCAGCCTGGCAGACATTATGAGGCTTTGTAAAACAGGAAACATACAATATTACAAATGGAATAGGGTGGTAAGGCATAGGGAGTGTACAGCATTGCAGGTGATATGATGGGTTGCAGAATAAGCAATGTACATGGCAATTGAAATGCATGGCACAGCAAAGGGAATGTACATCAGAGTGAGACGGTGAAGACTATTTTCAAAGCATCTTGGCTTATGTCTGCTGCTGCGTCTCAGGATGGCCAGATCTCCATTAGTAGTAGGGGAAGGGGGGGTCGGAACCCCAGGAATGAGATAAGAAGTATCAGGTGGAAGATCTCATTTTCTGCCAGTCACACTGGACTGCTGGACCCCATTCATACCTCTACCAGTGTGGCATCTGCACAAGATACAACACCCAACACACAGGGGTGTATTTGCTGTGAGGCAAAAATGGCGTTTGTCTAGGGTGACACTTTTCAGGGGGGGTGGTGTCAGTGGGAGGAATGCTTTCCCATCATTGGTGTCAGTGGGACTAATAGTGCCCCTTCATTAGTGTCAGTGTGGGAGGAATACTGACTCCCACTGACACCAATGATTGGACAGTATTCCTCCCACTGACACCAGTGATGGTGCACTATTCCTCCCACTGATACCTATGATGGGCACTATTTCTCCCACTGATACCAATGATGGGGCACTGTTCCTCCCACTGATACCAATGATGGGGCACTGTTCCTCCCACTGACACCAGTGATGGGGCACTATTCCTTCTACTGACACCAATGATGGGGCACTATTCCTCCAAATGACACCGATAATGCAATTAAATAAGAGGTAGAGCTCTAATAGGAAGAGGTGGAGCCTAAAGAGGAAGGGTGGAGTTTACAGATGAAGGGGTGAATCTTAAACAGGAAGTGGTGGGACAAATTTAGATAGGGGGGTGCCCAATTTTTGTCTAGCCTAGCGCAGCACAAAACCAAAATACACCACTGCCAACACAAGATATAATACCCAACTACTCATCCAATTACTGCTGTCATTTGTAAACACAAAAGCCTGCAGAGGAAGTCTTCCATGATTCTTACCCCTCTGTCAGAATACAGTAGCTCAGGAGTCATTCCCCCAACTACATCGAATGTGTGGATGGGGGAATCGGGTCAGTTTTTTCTTTATGTTCAATCTGCCGATTGAACTAAAAAAACTGACCCATCTTTGGACAGCTTAAAGGATAGGTTCACCTTTTAAAACATGTCACACCTGTATTTAGGACATAATATTTAACATGTTCCAGCATCTCCCCCCACCTGACATTGCTCCCTCAACCCACTGTTTGTGGGTGCAATACATTGCAGGCTTCTGTGTAAAAAAAAAATAAACTTTTTTTACCTGCAAAAGTATGTGCATTTATTATGTTTAAGTTAAAGGTAAATTTAGCCTTTAACTATATCCAGCCAAAGCTTTTGTTTTTAAAAAGAACCCTTATCAACTTTTTGTTGCTGTCTGTGTTCCTGTTGCAGATTTCCCCTTATTTCCTTGTGTTGAAACTGTAGGCACCCAGGCAATAAATAGGGGCTATTTTTGTAACAAAGTCCTGGGTAGCAGTAACAATGTGATAGGAATTCTAATCCTTATCTGTTTTATTTAAGATTAAAAAATGTTTATTCTGGACATACACCTTAAAAAGGTTTCTTTTTAAATTCCACTTAACAGATTCTTAATATTATACATATAAATACTCATATATCATATGTAGAATGCATGAAGAATAGAATAAAGAATGTAAAAAATACTGAAATAAGTATGACTAACAAACCTATCTTGTTGAAATTTACCATTATGCATTATGCCCTTACCAATATGAAATGTTCTTCATGGTTATTTTGATATTACTTGAATTTTTCAGGGCTATGCTGGCAAAGTACCATCCTGCTATATAAGTATGCAAAATATTTTGTAATGTGTTTTTTACATATGTTTTGTTTAAGGTGTTGGTCCCCAAGACAAAACATCACTGTCAACTGGTAAGAAGAGTGTGTAGTTTCCATGCTTCTCAATATTTTAATATTACTAGCCCTGGGTGTCCAATAATAAACAGAGGTATTTTGGGATTAGGTGGTACATTAAGAGGTATATAAAGCAGTAATATGGGTGGAGTGCACAACGATGATCAGTCACAGTGGATAGCAATCAGGCCCTCCCAAAGGCCATATATAGAAAAAAGAAAATTGGATTGCTGCACATAAAAAACTTTTATTGTTGAAAAATCACCATACAAAAGGGTGATCCAAAAAAATGAACAAAGCCATACATAATAGTGTTCTACATTAAGAGGTATGTGTAGTCGCAATCACTAAATCACCTACTCATGTAAGCCTTAATATATTAAGGTTATTTCAAAAGTCATTTTAATATTCTTCCATTTTCATTTCAAAATAACACTGAATGATTCTGCCATAAAGACCTTTTTCCAAGCAGTTCTGGTTTTAGGTTGCAATGCTCTGTGCCAACACACATTGCACATGCACAACACAACACATCTTGTTCTTTGGTATAAAAGGAGATAAACCCTATCTCAGCAGCCCTACTATATGCAGATTTTTTTGGATGATTGTATTATAATTGTGGTTTCATGCATAATTTTCTTATATTTTTACAATTTTTATGCTATAATTTATATTTGATGATATTGCCAAAAGTATTGGGACACCTGCCTTTACACGCCCATGAACTTCAATAGCATCCCAGTCTTAGTCCGCAGGGTTCATTATTGAGTTGTCCCACCCTTTGCAACTATAACAGCTTCAACTCTTCTGGGAAGGCTGTCCACAGACAGAGAACCTTGATTCGTCACTCCAGAGAACATGTCTACACTGCTCTACAGTCCAGTGGCGGTGTGCTTTACGCCACTGCATCCTACGCTTTTCATTGGACTTAGTGATGTAAGGCTTGGATGCAGCTGTTCAGCCATGGAAACCAATTTCATGAAGTTCTCTACTCACTGTTGTGCTAATCTGAAGGCCACATGAAGTTTGGAGGTCTTTAGTTATTGACTCTGTAAACAGTTGGCAACTTCTGCGCAGCATGCACTGACCTTGCTCTGTCATTTTATGTGGCCTACCACTTTGTGGATGAGTTGCTGTTTCTCCCAATTGCTTGCACTTTATTATAATACCAGTAACAGTCGACCGTGAAATAATTACTAGCAAGGAAATTGACTTATTGTACAGGTGGCAACCTATCACAGTACCACGCTTGAATTCACTGAGCTCCTGAGAGCGACCCATTCTTTCACAAATGTTTGTAGAAGCAGTCTGCATGTCAAGGTGCTTGCTTTTATACACCTGTGGCCATGGAGGTGATTGGAACACCTGAATCCAATGATTTGGAGGGGTGTCCCAATACTTTTGGGAATATAGTGTATATAGTAATTTTTTGGTTTCACTGCCCTAGTGTGGGTAGGCTTTGTATTTTTTGCACATGCATAGTCCAGCCATGTGAACTATGCATGGGATTCTTGTTGTTGTTAATGTTGTTCTTTTTTCTATCCTTTAAATGACTCCACCATTTCCCTTTACTATGCGAGCTACATCGTTTTTGCAGAAAAAAATTCCCAATTGCATCCAGAGGCATTGTATTCATCTGGATGGCTGGCGGCCGCCATGTTAGTCAGGTTGAAAAAAAGACCAATAATTACACTTCCATCTAGTTCAAACCAATCTGTTTGGACCAGCCTTGGGAATTTTTACAAGAAGTGGTAAGTATGCAGAGTAGGAGCTAGACAATGCCTGGACATTTTTCTGCAAAGGCTATGTGGCATTATGTAGAGCCACACACTGGAGAACTCAGGCTGAAGATAGGGGGTATTGAAAGCATTTGAAGGACAGTTTGTTTCTACCTAATTGGAGACTCCCTACCCCTCCTTCTCTCTCTGTCTGACATGCCACTATCAACAATTTGCCTATATATAAACTAACATATAGAGTAGAAACTGCCCAAAGACAGTCAATAAGTTTTGGAGTGCTTGGATTGACATGCATGGCCAATAACTGCTGTTTGGAAACTGATTGGTTATGAACTTAGAACCCCTACACCCCCCCCCATCTGCCTACCCTATGGCATACTCAACTCGTTCTCTTTCTGTGCCCCCCCCCCCCTTTCTTTTCCACTTCACCTTCCTATTTGGATCTTCCTAAATGTACTAAGAGTGAAGCTGTCCTTTAAAGAGAACCACGTTCAGCCCAAACCTCCAGGAAGCTGTTACATGATAGCAAGCAACCAGCCCAATAGGTTATGTGGTCATATTATGTGCGTTATGATACCAGCATCCTCACCCTTTGTTATATGCAGCTGTGTGTCTGTAGGGCAGGGAATTCGCTGCATGTAGCTGAATGGGCCAGCATGTGACAGCTTCCAGTGGGTTCATCCCATACCTTAGTTCATCACTAGTCACAGGCTTTGGTTTCCTTCTACAGCAGCCTTTTGCAACCTTTTCAGCACAGAGGAACCCTTGCAATAACTTTCTGGTCTCAGTGAACCTCTGATAAAAAAATACTATATCTACAAGTCATGATACATTAGTGTGATGGTCAGTGGGAAGAATTGTCCCCTTACACTTAGCTAAAAATATCAATGGTGTCAGTAGGAACTTATCTGAGAGGCAGAAATTGCTCATTGCTCAAGGAACCCCTAGCAACCTCTGGAGAAATCCTTATCTTCAGCCTCAACTCTATCAAGTAAATAATGTTCTATCCAATGCATCTTAATGTTCTGAATAACTTATGGTTTCTTATTAATTAGGCATTATGCCAGGTTATTGGGGGTTTAGAGGACAACCAAGCTTTTGATATGGTAGCTCCCATATTTCTACATTCAAAAGTTTTCTCTAAAGTTTAACCTGTCCATTCTTCGGAAAACTATCAGGTTCATTTTACAAGATAGAATATACTGTATGCAGGCTGTACTTGATAAGTAAATTAAATCTTAAACTGATCAAACTCATTTCAAGCTCATCATACAGTCTCTGTCTAGTTCCCTTTAGATCTAATGTGAGGGTCTACATTAATCTGTATCCAGTAAGGGAGGCCTTCGGGCTACATGGATTTTGGTAGATATAAAAAAGATTGTATAATCATTTGTAGCCAGTTTTTAGAAAAGGCTGTACATGCTGTCTTCCATTTGCCAGCCCCTACTTGACAGCAATTGGGCCTGACAATGGGCTGTCCATGCATTGAGCAGTGCATTATGGGGAGATGTGTCCGTGTACCAGGAAGTACTGGGTGTTTCTTTGGTGATGTGGTGGTACACATTGACTGTGGTACTGACTGTGTTGTGTGTCTGTGCCTTTTCCCATTATTAACAACAAAGTCAAGAGTGGCTCTTTATTATTAATTTTTTTTTACTCTTCACTGTGTGTAAGCATTCTGCAGAAAAGTGGGAGGTGAAATTAAATATGGGATTGCCTTTAATTATTGTGTCTATTTTACTGTTGATGCTTTTGGTTTTAGATGACTACCAGTGCACTGGCAACCTTGAACAAGACTTCACTGAGCTCTGTAGCCGTTTGGGCTATACAGAATTTCCCAGAGTTTTGAACAGACCGCGACTGCCCAGTACACCGACATCTGAGAAAACTACCTTTGGTGAGTTCTGATTTTACCCAGCAGGATCTATGCAGAGGGAAGTGCAGCAGAATGGTTTCTCCTGTTCAGCAAGCAGCTGTGGGCTGAACATTGGAATGCAGTGAGTCAGTGCAAAACAGCTGACTATTTAGAGGAACAATAAATGTGTACTGAGCTGTTCAGCTCTCATATTTGCCAGTTTGGCCTTGTTCATAGGTGTACATAAGCATATGCCCATGTGAGGGCCATGTGTTGCCCACACAGGGATGCATAGATGCATCCTCATGCAGAAAATCCCATTCATGTCAGTTGGGATGCAGCCGCTGCACGGACACAGCCACTGCTTCTAATTTGACAGCCATGTGAGTGTGGGTGCAAAGCCCTGTTCATAGACAGTATGTGCTTAAGTATGTCTGTGTGAACAAAGCCTTAGGGTTAGTAAACACATGAATCAGACTCAGAAGTCAAAGTAGTGTTAATTTAAAGTATTTTAAGGCAAAACATGTGTTTAAGATGCAGTGGTCTCCCTGAGACCTTTTTTTCAGACAGGTTGGACAGTGAAGATAGGAGTTTTAGTACTGGCATAACAAGCCACTGTAGGCAGGCACACTATGTAGACAAGAATGATCAGAGATGGCTGTGGACAAATCATGAAACAGATCATTAGTGTGGCTATAGAGAGAGTAAGTCTGGATAAGGAGCCAAGTGTCTGCAATACAGGGTTTACATTTTTATTTTGAGTCCTTCCCGATGAATACAGCATATCCTAAGGCCTGATGAAGGGGACAATGTACTGTCCCTGAAACACATTACATGTAGCACCATTTATAGGTTTGGTATAAAACCTAATTTTCCTGTGACCCATTTTCAGCTGACAGCACACTGACGTCTGCTGTCGGCTGACATCACCCAGCTGGTTCAGGCTGGGGAAAGATCCTGACTTTAAAGTCAGGATCCATTCCAGAGTCTGAAGCGGAACCTGGCTCAACCTCGCAGCAAAGCTCTGAGAGCCTGAGCCAGCCACTCCTCCCCCTCCACAGCCCAGCGCTCCAGTGAGTCTTTGGGATACCAACAGTACAGCCGTGGCCAAAAGTTTTGAGAATGACACAAATATTAATTTTCACAAAATCTGCTGCCCTAGTTTTTATGATGGCAATTTGCATATACTCCAGAATGTTATGAAGAGTGATCAGATGCAATTAATTGCAAAGTCGCTCCTTGCCATGAAAATGGACTTAATCCCAGAAAAAAAATTTTCACTGCATTTCAGCCCTGCCACAAAATGACCAGCTGACATCATGTCAGTGATTCTCTTATTAACACAGGTGTCAGTGTTGACAAGGACAAGGCTGGAGATCACTCTGTCATGCTGGTTTAGAATAACAGCATGACAGAGTGACAGCATGATAGCTTTAGTTAGAATAGCAGACTGGAAGCTTTAAAAGGAGGGGGGTGCTTGAAATCATTGTTCTTTCTCTGTTAACCATGGTTACCTGCAAGGAAACACGTGCAGTTATCATTGCTTTGCACAAATAGAGATTCACAGGCAAGGATATTGCTGCTAAGATTGGACTTAAATCAACCATTTATCGGATCATCAAGAACTTCAAGGAGAGAGGTTCAATAGTTGTGGAGAAGGCTGCAGGGTGTCCAAGAAAGTCCAGCAAGCACCAGGACCATCTCCTAAAGTTGATTCAGCTGTGGGATTGGGGCACCACCAGTGCAGAGCTTGCTCAGGAATGGCAGCAGGCAGGTTTGAGTGCATCTGCACACACGGTGAGGCAAAGACTTTTGGAGGATGGCCTGGTGTCAAGAAGGGCAACAAAGAAGCCACTTCTTTCCAGGAAAAACATCAGAAACAGACTGATATTCTGCAAAAGGTTTAGGGATTGGACTGCTGAGGACTGAGGTAAAGTCATTTTCTCTGATAAATCCCTTTTCCGAATGTTTGGGGCATCCGGAAAAAACCTTGTCCAGAGAAGAAAAGGTAAGCGTTACCATTAGTCCTCTGTCATGCCAACAGTAAAGCATCCTGAGACCAGCCAAGGGAGTAGGCTTAGTCACAATTTTGCCTAAGAACTCATCCGGTTGGTGACGAACAATGCATTTTCCAGTATGATGGAGCACCTTGCCATGAGGCAAAATTGAGAACCAAGTGACTTGGGGAACAGAACATCAAAATGTTGGGTCCATGGCCAGGAAACTCCCCAGACCTTAATCCCATGGAGAACTTGTGGTCAATCCTCAAGAGGTGGGTGAACAAAAAAACCCTTAAATTCCGACAAACTTCAAGCATTGATTATGTAAGAATGGGCTGCCATCAGTTAGGAGGTGGCCCAGAAGTTGATTGAGAGCATGCCAGGGTGAATTGCAGAGGTCTTGAAAAAGAAGGGTCAATACTGGAAATATTGAATCTTTGCATAAACTTAATGTAATTGTCAGTAAAAGCCTTTGACACTTATGAAATGTTTGTAATTATACTTCAGTATACCATAGTAACATCTGACAAAAAGATCTAAAAACACTGAAGCAGCAGGCTTTGTGAAAATTACTGTATATCTACCTAAGGTTCCAGTGCCATCATTGTACTATTTTAAAATGAAGAAAGCCTACACAGGACAAATCAGAAAACACACACGATCAGAAGAGCAAAGCCTAATGCAGAAAAAACACATTATAGCTATGAGGTAGCTATGAAGTTGAGTTAGGATATGCTAATATTGATAGTTAGACTAAAGTGTTACTAAAAATTTTTTTTTTTTTTTTATTAAAATAACAAACTCGCAGTCTCTGCTCTAATTCATCCCAAAGATGTTCTTTCGAGTTGAGGTCAGGGCTCTGTACAGGCCAGTCAAGTTCATCAACCCCAAACTTGCTTATCCATGTCTTTATGGACTTTGCTTTGTACACTGGTGCGCAGTCAAGTTGGAACAAGAAGGGGCCAACCCCAAACTGTTTCCACAAAGTTGGGAGCATGAAATTGTCCAAAATGTCTCTTGGTATGCTGACGCCTTAAGAGTTCCCTTCACTGGAACTACAGGCCAAGCCCAACCCCTGAAAAACAACCCCACACCATAATACCCCCTCCACCAAACTTTACATTTGGTACAAAGCAGTTAAATACCGTTCTCTTGGCAATTGCCAAACCCAGACATGTCCATCGGATTGCCAGACAGAGAAGCATGATTCGTCACTCCAGAGAACAAATCTCCACTGCTCTAAAGTCCAGTGGCAGTGAGCTTTACGCCACTACATCCGATGCTTTGCATTGCACTTGGTGATGTAAGGCTCGGATGCAGCTGCTCAACCATGGAAACCCATTCCATGAAGCTCTCTATGCACTGTTGTTGTGCTAATCTAAGGCCACAGGAAGTTTGGAGGTCTTTAGCTATTGACTCTGCAGACAGTTGGCAACTTCTGTGCACCGTGCGCTTCAGCATGCTTTTAATTTACATGGCTTACCACTTCGTGGAAGAGTTGCTGTTGTTCCCAGCTGCTTCCACTTTGTTATAATACCATTAACAGTTGACCGTAGAATATTTAGTAGCAAGGAAATTTCAGGGATTAGCTTTATTGCACAGGTGGCAGCCTATTATGGTACCACACTTGAATTCACTGAGCTCATGAAAGCAACCCATTCTTGCACAAATGTTTGTAGAAGCAGTCTGCATGCCTAGGTGCTTGATTTTATACACTTGCGGCCATAGAGGTGATTGGAACACCTGAATCCAATGATTTGGAGGGGTGTACCAATACTTTTTGCAATATAGTGTTATACTTACCTGCTCTGTGCAATGGTATTGCACAGGGCAGCCCCGAACCTCTTCTTTTTGGGTCCCATGATGGCGCTGTCCACTCCTCCTCTTCTCTATATGCCCCTATAGCAAGTGGCTCTAAAGCCTGGCTGTATGTGTCCATAAATGAAAAAAAATACCCCCGAAGCTGGGGTCTCTGGCTGGTGCGTGCAGGTGGGAGTTGGAGGAGAGAGACACAGTCCAGTGTCCCAGCTATATCCCTCCCTGTACTGCCCCTTCCCTGCCCTGGCAATGGAAGCTGTTTTTTTTTGTTTGTTCATTTTATGCAACACCCGGACTCATTTATCGGAATCCTGGGTAAGTACAGAGCAAAGTCATATACCTACTTCTACCCAGGACCCTTACTGGTGATTTTGGGGAACCACACGCTGTTATTTCCTCATTATTTTATTTATTATTAATGTTTAGTTCTGTATGTTTAGTTTGCTTCCTTTTTATTCTTGGTGATCTTTGTTCATACCTCAAACTTATGGATACTCAAAATTGCTATGTATGACTTGATAACTTTGTTATTAAATACTTATTGTGGAAAAAAATACGCCTAACTAATTTCTACACCAAAACAAATAATTTATCTATGGAGCAGCGCAAACACTTCTGTAGAATCACCATAAACACAGATAGATACAAATATAAAACACAGTGTAGTGTTCCTAAAAAAACTGTAGCAACTCTTAATAAATTACATATAATAATAAGTACAAATTCATCAAAAGTGCAATAAAAACATAAGTGCAGTTTGTAATGAGCTATTAATAAATTCCCTGTAATGTCCCTTTTGACCCGTGCACATAACTTCCCAGTATTGTAGCATATACAAAACCAAAGTGCTATAGTTCAAATTCATCAAATATGCAAAACATTAAATGTACAAATCCATTAAGCATGCAAATAATTGTGTCCATATACAGTCCAATAAAGCCTGCTGTGCTTCACAATCTTTGTGTGTGCATTTATGCAAATCCTTCTGCCAGTGAACCAGTCAGTCTCCACAGTGATTGTAGCTCAACCACCTCTGTGCCCCTTTTGCATAGTTGCCAACAGTCCTGAATTGCCTGGGACATTCACAATTTTTTGACAGCTGTCTTGATGTGATCTTGTCCTGGGCTGAGTCCCTCAAACGAAGGTCTGTCATGGACAGCTGAGCTTCTCACTCTGAACTTAGTGCATGATGGTGCCAAAACAGAGTTGCTGCCAGGCGGAGGAGGATAACAGATATAACATGCAGTACACAGATCCCTCCCCCCTACCTTCTCAGGCTTCCCCAGCAGCAGAGCTGTTTAATGGCTCAATATTGGGGACTCTAATTGATGGGAGGAAGTCAGGTGGTGCCTACCTTCTTGTGTGATTGAACAGAACTTGTGAGAGGGCATGGCCTGCTGTGTGAGGAGCACAGAAGGTAGATAGTACCTAGTTTGGGAAACAGTTCACACAGATTAGGGCTACCAGAGTGGGTGGGGCAGGGGGTGTGGCCAGTTCCTCCCATCATAGCACAGATGGCTGCTTCATTTGGCTCATGTAGCAGCTGAAGATGTGAAGTGGAGTAGACATACCAGCCTTGGAAGTCTTCCGAGTGCAACAATGTGGTAAATGACTGATGGATCATCCTGCTCAGTGACTGGCCTTCCCTACTGCTTAATGACTGTCCTGTCATACCGCTCACTGACTGTCCAATCATACCACACACACTGACTTTCCTGCCATACCAATCACTGACTGCCCTGTCATACGCTCACTGGCTGCCCGTCATACCGCTCACTGACTGCCCTGTTGTACCACTCACTGACTATTCTGCCATACTGCTCACTGACTGCCCTGTCAAACTGCTCACTAACTGTCCTATCATACCTCTTACTGAGTGTCTTGTCATACTGCTCACAGACTGCCCACCCCTGACATACTGCTCACTGACTGTCCTTCTCTGACATACTGCTCACTAATGCAGGCCATAGACGGTTCGTTTTACGGGCCGAAAAAAATGGCCGTTCTGTTGCCACCAATGCTTACAAAAATCGGCCATTTTTCGTAAATTTTCCAGCATGACTGATAAAAGAAATGAGAAGGAACTGCGAAAATCGGCCGACGACATTGCCCCACTAATGGTGCGAATATCGGCCGATTATTCTTTCGGACGAAAATTCGGCCGATAAACGAACCGTCTATGGCCTGCATTAGGCTACTTTCACACTAAGGAGTTTTTGAAGCATTTTTGCGTTAAAAAAAAAAAAGCACCTGAAAAGCTCAAGAAAAATGCTGCCCTATGTATGTGAATATATATTTATGTATGTTTTCACACTAAGGCATTGCACTTGCGGTGCGTTGTAAAAACTCCTGCTTGCAGCATCTTTGGGGCATGAGTTAAAATAAAAACGCCCTCAAAACGCCTCTTCCCATTGAAATCAATGGAAAGCACCTGAAAAACGCCCGAAAAGTGCCTCAAAAATGCTTCTGGGAAGCATTTTTGGTGCAGTTTGTCACATGTCCTTTAAAAATGCTCACTGACTGTCCTACCCTGACTTACTGCTCACTGACTGTCCTGCTGTGACATACTGCTAACTCACTGTTCTGTCCTGACATACTGCTCACTAACTGTCTTGACATACTGCTCACTGACTGTCCGACTCAGACATACTGCTCACTGACTGTCCTGCCCTGACATACTGCTCACTGACTGTCATGCCCTAACATACTGATCACTGACTGTCCTGACATACCGTGCACTGACTGTCCTGCCCTAACATACTGCTTACTGATTTTCCTGACATACCGCACACTGACTGTCCTGCCCTAAGATGCTGCTCACTAACTGTCCTGTCCTGACATACTGTGCACTAACTGTGTTGACATACTGCTCACTGACTGTCCTACCCAGACATACTGCTCACTGACTGTCCTACCCAGACATACTGCTCACTGACTGTCCTACCCAGACATGCTGCTCACTGACTGTCCTGCCCTGACATACTGCTCACTGACTGTCCTGCCCTGACATACTGCTCACTGACTGTCCTGCCCTAGCATACTGCTCACTGACTGTCCTGCCCTAGCATACTGCTCAATGACTGTCCTGCCCTGACCTACTGCTCACTGACTGCCCTGACATACTGCTCACTGACTGTCCTGACATACTGCTCACTGACTGTCCTGACATACTGCTCACTGACTGTCCTGCCCTGACATAATGCTCACAGACTACCCTACCACTGCATACTGCTTACTAACCTCCCTGTGACTACATATACCCTCAATAGCTCTGCACTGCCATTTTGCACTGCCCTGCATAATTTTTTGGATACTTTTGTATTTCTTTAGCCCTATAACTATAGCTGTCTTACATATGCTTAATTAAAGTGTGGCACTAGATTAAATATATGCTTCTTGTGAAACCATTATCACTTTACTAACTGTAACAATAATGTGGAATTGTGTTTACCAGCAGATGACACAGACTTGACTTTAGACAAAGACAGCCAGATTGCCCATATCACAGACCGCTTCTCTTACTTCAAGCCAAGCATCCAAATAGAGGTGGACAAGGAAGATGGGAAGTCTGTGCGAGAAATTTCTATCAGAGGTGACATTCCCAGTTTTTATATTCTATCCTTTGATCCAGGTCAGTTTATGGAAAACTTATCAAAGAATTAAGGTATGGAAGAGTTAAAAAAAAAAGACAGCCTGAGGATGTGAAATAATGAAACCTGTCATGAACAAAATACGTGGAATGCCATTTCGACCCCTCCAGATACCAGTTCTCTGCTTGCCATGCTGATTGAATGGCTTCATTGCTTGTTGTGTTATTAACCTAGACCAGCTCAGCCTAAGTGATTTGGTTACCGCCCCCCAAACCACAAATGTAAACAAACCCTTACTGTCCTGAGCCCCCTATAAGGCTGCTTTTACACTGATGCACTGCTGTTTACCCACACCATGGGTGCAGCACAGTGCACCTGAGGCTTTCCGAGTTAGTTGCATTTTGCTATAGACGTCTATTATACCTTTTGGGTGTGGAGCACTTTCTGAAAGCGCACCAAACCAGCAGGATATATTAAGTCTATGGCTCAGTGCAGGTAACCCACAGGTGCACTGCGCTGCACCCGCAGAAAGCTATTTGTTAACCCTTTTATAGGTGCTAATATGTCCATTGCAAAAGTGCAGTGTATGTGTTGTTAAATACTTCTCTTCCAACTTCTGCATTGCCCTCCAGGCTGCTAGAAAGGTCCCAGGCAAAGTACAGTTGGTATCACTCTGCCTGGGACAGAAGCCTGTGCAACAAAGGAAGCATCGGCTTATGTGGCTCCCAATCCCACCTCAGCTACTTGCTTCCTCCCCTGCTGGTGTTGGCTCTGATGCTCCGGGGTGACAGTTCGGCAAGCCCAGATCGCAATCAATGGGTTGCCAATACTGGGCATACCCTTCCTTGGTTTGAGGTTGAGGGCCACACATAAGGTCCACATGTTGAGCACCCCTGAACTAGACCAAGTATAGATAGAAGAAATGCTGAGATTTCATGACTCAGAATTGTCAAAGTCAGACACATCCAGACAACTAGTATTCTCGGGAGGTTGCCAGCAATATCTGTCCAGCAATGGCAGCACCATACTAATTGGGTTGCAGGCAGTTTGCAGTCTAATTTGGTTGTAGCACTAATAAAGACTTCTACTGTTTATGAATTTGGCCATCTTAATAATAATAAACAGCAAGAACTGGAGCTGGGCCATTAGAAAAAGATTAATTCTTCTTTAGAGTTTTCATACTGATTGAAACCCCTTTTTTCCTTTTCTTTAAATTAAAAGCAGAACTCTGATCCCCTGTAAGGGAGTTTGTTTATAGCCTGTTGTCTTAGATCGTCTCAGATTGTCTGAAACATGCTAGTACTTTTTCGTATATTTCTTATACAAAATTAGCAGATACCCCCATCCACACAGGAGAAATAGATGGAGGAATCCCCCGTTAGACACTGTATTTTGACAGTGGGACCCTCCATTGTCAGAGTACACTGGTTAACAGCTGCAGCCGCTAATGTAGGAACATTTTCCAAAACGTCCCTTTTGACAGAAGTTGTTCAAACTATCAATTTCTGTTAAGCAGAGACAGCCACACAGAGAATGAAATTGATCAGTGTATGGCCAGCCTAACCCTTGATCCATTGTCTCTTACATATACTCATCCTACTTATATTTCTTCAGCCATTGAACTCTGGATATATACTGCAGTGAGAATCACTGAAATATTTTACATAAAAACCAGGGTTTGGGGCATGCCACAAAGAAATATGTTAGCAGGTGGTAGGATGAGTTGTACAGAATTTTTATTAGTAGGATTATCTTTAAAAAGCAAATTGGAAATGAAAGGAAAGTCAAAAAAGGACACAGAAGAGCATATTTGATAGTAAGCACTTATTTAAAAGTGGACATATACATTTGTATGGTATGTACATACCTGCCTTTATAAAGTTTTTCATTTGGTGGCCTGCACCAAGAAAACCGTAAAATGGCATTGGATTACAGTACAAAGTAAAATTAAATTTTTTTGCTTTGACTACAGGATGGAAAATTGATGATAAAATGATGGGTATATTCTCAAAATGTTTACCTGCTCTCACCAATCTCCACAAAATCAGGTGAGGTAAATTTTATATTCTGTGTTGAACCCCTAAAAGTAATATTTTAGTTTATAGATAAAAAACAGAATTCAAATCACCAGCCAAATATATTCATTAAACCAATAATACACCCTAAACTAAATGTCCCTAACCTGTTACAGACTGTCCCTAACTTGTGTTTAATAGTTTTTTTCGGTTACCCAGTACTTATGCTTTTAGCTTTAGAAGTTTAGCTAGCTCCCCTCAGTCGATTCTGGTTTTCTGCCCATGCCATATGCAAGAGCTGTTACCTCTCTGGTGATAGCAAATTCCCATTATGCCTCAGTCTACCTGCAGGCACCTTGTGTGTCATTATGTTACTTTGAAGTCCACAAGAAACAAGGATCCTAGGGTAACGGCACTGCTCCTGCTGCTTAGGGAGCTGCTCAGAGAACATTATTATTCTTGAATGGACATACGGGAACTGGCAGGATCACCAAGTAAAAAAAACAATTGAGTTTCAGAATTTTTCTATATCCAAGTTACACGGTCCTCTGTGTGAGGGAATTGCCCTGTTCCTGTTGTATTGTCTATTTATGGAGAATGCAGCAGGAGGAGTAGTGATCCATGGTGGAAAGAGACAAGAATCTAGAACTCCAGAGGGGGATATTATAGCCCATTGCTCAATCCCCTCAAGATACAAGAAGCTAGAGGAGTCCACTTACAGGAGCACTGAAATATATCAGATTTAGCTGTAATGACTCTTTAATTAGACACTAATCTCTATTTATGTTCTTTCAGCCTGTGGAACGTTGGCCTCACAGATGCCACCTTCTCTTCTTTCCTCACCATCCTGCAGTGCTGCCCAAGCATCAGGTAGGCGTTGACCTAGTTAAATTTTATTTAATACACATCAGTCAAAAGCATGTGTAGCCCATTGAAATGTTATTACTTGCAGTACATTAACCACTTGCCCTCCTGAGGATTTACCCCCCTTCCTGACCAGGCCATTTTTTTGCGTTATGGCGCTGCGTTATTTAACTGACAATTGCAAGGTCATGCAACACTGCACCCAAATGAAATTTACATCCTTTTTTTCCCACGAATTGAGCTTTCTTTTGGTGGTATTTGATCGCCTGTGCGTTTTTAATTTTTTGGAAAAAAAAGACCGACACTTTTGAGAAAAAAAACAATATTTTTGACTATTTGCTATTATACATGTCCAATAAAAAAAATTTTAAAATAAAATTACGTCATAAATTTAGGCCAAAATGTATTCTGCTACATGTCTTTGCTAAAACAAAATTTCAATACGTGGAAATTAAATGGTTTATGTGAAAGGTTTAGTGTTTACAAATGGCTTTATAGATACACTGGCGGGACCTGACTTGGTGTCACTGACATCCCCAGTGACACCAATACAGTGATCAGTGCTAATAAAAAGCACTGACACTGTACTAATGGCACTGGGCAGAAAGAGGTTAACATGAGAGGCGATCAAAGGGTTAACTGTGTGCTGGGAGTGTTTTACTAGGGGTTCTGTGCCAGTGTGCTTCACTGTAAGCACAGCCATCCAAAGCAGTGTGCCTGAGCTGACAGGGAGGAAAACTGTTAGTAAACAAAACAGTTCTCCTCCATGTCAGAGATCATCGGAAATCACTGGGCACTGGCAACTAATCACTGGCCGGGACCCGGTGATTTACAGCCGCGGTCGCGAATGGCGGTGTGGGTAGGGCTCGCATGCCCCGTACCCAGAAATGCAAAATCACATATATATACCCGTGCCACCCTGTAGCAGTATTTTTGCTATAGTGCAGACGGGAAGCGGTTAAAATAGATGGCGGTAATCTACCATTCAGGGTCACTCACAATCGACAGAACAGCCCTCTGGAACTTGTATGCTGTATATCAGGACTCAGCTGGTGATCAGGGTAGTCAGGGACTACATTTCCCAAGAGAGGTAGCGTGAGGGTGGGACATATAAATATCAAACCCCGGGAGATTGGCCAGGACAGTGCAGGGAGAGACTGAAGGAGAAGGAAGTGTGCTGACGGCTGAAGTGCTGAACTTGGCTGTGGAGCCAGGGTTGGAGAGAGAGAGAGCAGAAAGAGCCTACTGACCCCCCGGTCTGCCACGCTGCCCAGCAGGCCAATCTGACAGCAGGAAACCAGATGGGATGCCGAGTCTGAGCCGGTGAGTCCGTGGACTGACCTCGTTTACAGAGAGAGAGAGACATACGATCTGCTGGACTATTTAATCGGATGAGAGAGATCCATGTATCCACTAGCCAAGTGAATACTGACAGTTTGCCACCTCAGCTATCTACCTACATATAGTTGTGAACATTACATGTAGTTACTTCAGTTTGTGGCCTAGATCTCATAGCCGCCATCGTTGAGATACATCTACATTGCAGTTTCCTGTACAAGCTGATTTCAGGACATACAGTTGCAGGCCAGAATACAGTAGAATCCACTGAAACAACAAGTTTCTCTTCTTCAACAAAGCAAGATTCCTATTACTGTTAGCTTTCACCTCTGAAGTACAAAGGGAGCTGTCTTTGCCTATAGACATTTATGACAATTGTGCTATCCATCACTTCAAGCCTGCGAGCCCATGTTAGTGCTTTAAAGGGGACCAGGCCTTAATTCACTACCATCAAGAAGGAAATTATTAATTCTCCCCTTGTTCCTTCGTGATCTCTGTGTCACCATCCCAAGGAACTATATTACACACCTCATCTCAACCTCATACCAACTGGGCACCAACTAGTGTGCAGAAGACACTGTAGTGTACTTAAAGGGACAGTGCTTTGATTCCAATATAAACTCCATATTGGTTTACATTAATTTGGGTGTGAGTCCATTTTACAGTTGTGATTTACTTTGGTCTCGGGAGCACTGTGGTGTCAGCAGAGGTTGGGTTTGCAACCAGAAGTTCAAATTGACAGGGAACACAAAATAATTACTAAGCAACCCTTAAGGGGGTAGTGCTACATGTGGAGGCTAGTCTGGGATATCTCTGTTAAGAGAATCTGTGGCCATGCAGAGAGAGAAAGTATGGAACCATCTGAGATCGTTGCCTGTGCCAAGAGGAGAATGGAAACTCAGAGTACTGTGGGCTGAAGAGCAGGTTATGCAGATGTTAACAGCCCGCATACCAGACCATAAAGGGAGCAACCCAGATGCACCCAATGCATTAGTTTTGACTAAATGGGCCAAAGGGATCCCTTCTGTGCTTGAAGAACATAGTATACATCTGACTGACACAGTAATGACACAAGTGTTCCGATCCTGTACTGTTGAATGAAGTGGAGAGAGTTTACGGAAAGGTACCCCTGAGCTAGAGGCGTCCACTTCCGCTGCAGCTGGAGGAGGCATATCTGTCACTTCATGAGCTGAACTAGGAAAGTTTATAGAGACCTTGCTGAAAAACTCCGCCTCGATTTCTAGTCACAACTATCGGAGGGTGAAATTCTTTTCTGGAAAGACTGCTCCACCACTAGGGGAAGATATAGAATAAATCATAAAAGCGCCAAACCAAAGAAATTTACATAAACAAAGAATAAATCTAAATATACAGCAGTCCTAAACCCAAATTGGTATAGATATTAGATATATATAGGAATGCGCTTAATAATTAAATAAATAAATAATAAAAACAAAAAAAGTTTCCAAATAATTCAGTGTAAAAAGTCCAAACACCATACAGATGCTGGAAAATCATGTGGAAACCATAACACCGTGATAAATCCACCACCAAATAAATTGGATAAACTCCCCAGAGCTATATGCTGATCAAATTATAAATCAGCATAAGCGCTATTGCTCTGGGAGTGATGAATGTAGGGGATATCCAGACTTTAGAAGCAATGCTCTGCAGCTGTAGACAATATCCAGACTCTAGGAGCAATACTCTGCAGCCAATCATTCAGCATGGACGGAACCTTTCATATAACCCTCGTTTCTCCATACATATTGGAACCGCACTCAGGAATAACTGTCCGACTATGTTCAAAGATTGGGCAAGATTCTGCACCAAGTGGTTCAGGGAGGGGTGAAGGCGGAAAGCACCAGTAAGGCCCTATGGACCCACGTAAAAAAGGGAGCTCAACTCCTTGAGCCAATTGTACAGATACTTAGAGTCAGTTATCCCTCTGGTGCTGTGACGTATTCAAAGCTGCTGAAGACCATTAGAGAAAAAGAAGCTCTGATGGTGGCCAAGGCCAGGAAGAGTGAAGTCTAAGGTGGACCCTGGCCCATGTCTTCTCTTATGTCATTCAAGCTTTTCCAAACAGAGAGGGGTTGTCTGAGGCACAGGTCATGATCACCATGGACAGTATAGTGCAGACCCTGTCCCAGTTGGCTTAGGCCCAAGCCGTGATTCAACAATCTTTCTGTGAAGTCCAAATACTGTGGGACAGGTCATGGAGACTCACATCACTATGCAGAAGACCATGTCAGATATGGCACAGACAGTGTCAGCCATGTCAGCTGGAAGAGGGGAATCCAGTCTAGGGTGCCCTAGACCTCGTTTCCAGTGCAGAGAACTGGGACACTTTCAGGCTCAATGCCAGACAGAGCCAGCAGCCGACCTGACAGCTGAAGTGATCCAGGCTTTGAGGCATTGTAGTGGTCCGCAAGATGAATGGTACCTTGTGGATGTGTATCGACTATAGCACCCTGAATAAGCAGACTGTCCAAGACCAATATACAACCCCCCCGTGATTGAAGATTCTTTGCAGTGTCTATCAGGAGCCAAATGGTTTAGTGTCCTGGATTTGAAGAGTGGAAAACAGCTTTTATCACCTCGCTCGGGTTCTTTGAATTCGATCATATGTCCCAAGGCTTATCCAGGATGCCTACCACTTTCCAGACATTGATGGAGTGCATGGGGGGAGACATAAATCTAATCGAAGTTCTGGTCTATCTTTATGACATAATAATGTTCAGAAGAACTTTAGAGGAGCAGCTGTAGAAGGTGTTCCAAAGGCTTCATGATGAAGGCTTGAAGCTGTCTCTGGAAAAGTGCCAATTCTACAGGAATTCAGTCACCTATCTGGGTCACGTGGTCTCTGCAAAAGGGGTGGCTACAGATCCAAGCAAGATTGAAGCCTTGACTACCTGGCCTCAACCCAACAATATCACAGAAATGAGGTAATTCCTGGGATTCTGCTTATACTATCGTTGGTTTGCGGAGGGATTCGCAAAGACAACTGCCTCCCTCACTGACCTGTTGAAGAATATTTTGCCGCGCAAGAACCCCCCCCCCCAAAAAGGGGTTTAGCAGATCTCGGGAGCCCATCAGTAGTCAGTGGACCCAGCAGTGTGAGCAAGCTTTCATCAAGCTTAAGCGATGTTTAACACAGGCCACTGTGCTGACTTATGCCGACTCCTCCAGGCCATATGAAATTCAGGTGGATGCCAGCTGTGAGGGACCGGGGGTGGTTCCCTATCAAGAGCATGCTGGGCTATTGTGGCTGGTGGCTTTCATGAGCTGGAGCCTCTCCCCCGCTGAAAGGTGTTACCTAACACATAAGTTGGAGTTTCTTTCTTTGAATTGGGCCAAGGTGGACAAGTTGAAGGATTATTTATATGGGACTGAATCCCTTGTGAAGGCAGATAATAATCCTCTAACCTACATGCTCACCACAGCTAAACATGGATGGTTGGCTGCGCTATCTGGCTTTCATTTCAGACTGAAATACAGATCTGGAGCAGGGAATAAGGATGCAGATGCTCTATCTAGAAGACCTCATTGTCGCCATACCACTGGACCAGACTGGTTGTAGGTATCCCTCAAGGTGGTCTAGGCCATGATTCAAGGAGCTGAGTATATAGCCAAGGGGTAGTGTATGCTACAGTAGTGGGAGCCCG